CTGATTTTGATTATGATTTAATTTTTGGTATTCCTGACAGGGCTGTGGATGTTGAAGTTCGTGCAAATGATAATCAACAATCTGAATTGTCGAAGCATACTGATGACTTGAAAATCCCTCAAACTATTGACGATGTTAATTCAATAACGAATTCTCCAGGAGTTGGCGAAAGTCTGCATAATAATCCAGTGGAGAGTGAGCACTTGGATTCGAATACTCTGGTTGAGGGAGAGCATTCTTTCGAGGGGGAGAATGGGAGAATGGATGAAGTTGTTGAGGGGGAGCATCTTGTTGAGGGGGAGCATCAGAATGATAATTCTATCGAAAGTAGACATGATGTTGATGATGTGATAAGTCTTGATCAAAATGATGAATTTCACGAAATAAATGATAATTTTTCTGTTGCAGGATCTGAAAATGAAGAGATGTACGAAGATGCACCTTTAGAATTTGATCCAGCATATCCACCATTAGAGAAATGGACAAAAACTCATCCGAAAGATCAAGTCATTGGAAATCCTAATGATGGAGTGATGACAAGAGCTCAGATTCGTGCGAAGAATGAGGTATTAAATACTCATCAAGAATTTTGCATGTTCAATGTTTTCATATCTAAAATTGAACCAAAGACAGTTAAGATGGCAATGGAACACTCAGATTGGGTTGTTGCAATGCAATCTGAAATGGCTTAATTCGAAAGAAACAAGGTTTGGAGATTAATTCCTAAACCTGAAAATGTTTCGATTGTCGGGTTAAAATGGATTTTCAAAAACAAAACTGACAAAGATGGAAATATTGTACGAAATAAAGCGCGATTAGTTGTAAAAGGATATTCACAACAAGAAGGTATTGATTATGAAGAAACCTTTGCCCTTGTTGCAAGACTCGAGGCTGTTCGAATATTCTTAACTTATGCAGCTCATAAGGATTTTGATGTATTTCAAATGGATGTGAAATGTGCCTTTCTCAATGGAGAACTCAAAGAAACTGTTTATGTTAAACAACCTCCAGGTTTCGTAAATGAAAAACATACTGATCATGTATATATTTTCGATAAAGATGTATATGGGTTAAAACAAGCACCAAGAGCATGATATGCAACTCTTACCAGTTTCTTAAAACAGTCGAAATTTAAACAAGGATCAATTGATCCCACGTTATTTCGAAAGAAAGTTGGGAATCATCTGATGCTTGTTCAAATTTATGTTGATGATATTATTTTTGGCTGTACTGACCCTGCTTTATCTAACGAATTTGAAAATTTGATGAAAAGCCAATTCGAAATGAGCATGATGGGTAAAATCAATAATTTTCTTGGCTTAAACATATGTCAAAACAGAGAAGGTATTTTCATCAATCAGGAAAAATATACAAGGAATTTGCTTGAAAAGTTTGGATTAACAAATAGCACGAAGCTAAGAGTACCAATGGCTGTGGGCACAATACTAACACCTTCGTTAGAAACGCTTGCGGTTGATCTTACTTTATACAGGAGCATGATAGGTTCATTGCTTTATCTTACTGCAAGTAGACCTGATATCATGTTTGCTGTATGTAATTGTGCTAGGTATCAAGCAAATCCTCGAGAACCACATTTAACAACTGTGAAGAATATTTTTCGTTATCTCAAGGGAACAATTTCATTAGGATTGTGGTATCCTTCGAAAACAGGAATTTTCATTCAGGCATTTTCAGATGCAGACCTAGGAGGGTGTACATTGGATCGAAAAAGTACAAGTGGTGGTTGTCAATTTTTGGATGGAAAGTTGGTTAGTTGGCAGTCGAAGAAGCAAACATGTGTATCGATTTCTACTGCTGAAGTCGAATATGTTGCAGCTGCTGCTTGTACATCTCAAATTATTTGGATTCAAAGTTAGTTGAGAGATTATGCTGTGAATATGAAAAAGATTCCGTTGTACTGTGATTCTCAAAGTGCTATTCGCATTTGTCATAATCCAGTACAACAATCGAAAACAAAACATATAGCTCTTCGTTATCACTTTATCAAAGATCATGTGGAAGATGGAAACATTGAAGTTCATTTTGTAAAAACAACTGATCAGCTTGCTGATATTTTTACAAAAGCTTTGGATGAAAAATCATTTCTTTGAATTTTGACAGGTTTGGGAATGATAGAAGCAAGTTCAGTTCTAGGAAGAATTTCGAATATATAGCAAAGGCATGCTATACAAATGTGTCGATTCAGAGGCAATAAGACGTCATTCAGTGGTTACTGTTCATAGTCAACGCTTCGACAGGCTTCGAATTCGACAAGTTGCATGTTAATTGTGCGGTACAAAATTTTCGTTAGTTTGTCAAAATTTCTGTAAGGTTGACAAATTTTCGTTCGTTTGCCAAATTTTCGAAAGGATGGAAAATTGTAGTCTGTTTACAAATTTTCGTTTGTTTGTAAAAATGTTTTTCGTAAGTTTGGTTCTTAGTTTTATTTTCGAAAATTCAAAAACTCCAAAAAGATTTTATTTTTGTTTTGTTGTTTCATTTTCGAAAAATTCAAAAACTCCAAAAAGATTTTATTTTTGTTTTGTTGTTTCATTTTCGAAAAATTAAAAACTCCAAAAAGATTTTATTTTTGTATTGTTGTTTCATTTTCGAAAAATCAAAAGCTCCACAAAGATTTTCTTTTATTCATTGTTTTCTTTTTCAAAAAATTCACAAAAACACAAAAATATTTTATTTCTGTTAGAAAAATCAAAAATATCAAAAAGATTTTTGTCATTTTCTTTGTTGTTTCTTTATGCAGATTACACGAACATTTTTCAAGGGTCATGCTTGCATTTCTATGGGAAGGTAAAATTTCGACAACTATGTACTAGTTAGACTGTCCCTAGAAGCATGCTGCAGCATGTCGACCCAAGCCTCTGTAGACTCAATGTGTGTTTACGAAAGCCTTAATGAAATTTTTCATACGAAAATTTCTTCCCAAGTCAGGCTTATATTCACATTAGTCGATTGAGCTACCTTACTCTTCTCACATGAGTTAAGAGTTATCTGTTTTGTCCGAAAATAACAGAGGTACAAATCGTTTCTCAAAACCAATCTTTTTCATCACAAAGTTCTAACACTTTTCACACACAATGACATATGTCCGAGAGGTCATTGATCAAACCAATCATGACTTAGGCATATCAACCTTATGTGTTTATAATCTGACGTCATGAGGCCGTGATGAAAGTGAAACCCAAAAATCTATCTTCGTAAGGAATTGACGGGGAACTAAGTTCCAGTTTTAACGAAACATTTGTTTCTATACCATTTTTCAAAACTCAAAATCATATTCATTTCTCATGCGTGATCTCGATCAAACTATCGAAACCCACGATGTTTGTTACCTAACAGGATCCAGAACAATTTTTTTTTCATGAGTATGATTTCTGTATGAGTTTCATTTGCTTTCCAAGTCACTGTCAATATAATTCAAAGCACACTTGTCACTGACTACACTGGTCAAACAAGTAATTTCTGTTACAATTACTCACCTTATGTTTAGGTTGATATGTAACGAAATTTTAAACCACCCGTTTAGCCTAAAAAAAGAAGCCCTTCGATACTTCTCTATAAGTATTCGATTGTAATTCACGGGATCACACACAAGCAGTTAATTATCTCTTTTGATAGTTAACGAAGCAACCTTTGCCCGGGGTTTTTCTGCTTTTGTGTCGAAATTTATTTTGACATCACAGATCCAAATTTTCGTTCATTTGATTCTTATATTTTCTTTGGCACAATGCACACACGAAATCCTTGAGGTTCTGAGTAATACCAACTCAGGATGATGATTTCGAAAGTCTAGCAAATGACTTCGTCTCTAAACCCAAAGACGAAAGAGCTTAACCTCCATCCAAAGGTTGTTGACGGTTACTATTCTTTGAGGTGACACGAACAGACTGCTAGATGAGACCTTTTGTATTCAGTGCGGGTTTCAAGGAGAGTTGACAGTTACTTTTTGACGCATGGCAACTTTATCGGCCGACTGGTGCGAGTTTCTAGGTGCCACGTCAGATCTCAATTAATGAACATCTCGCGTTCAATTCAAATTTCAGGATTACATATAAAAAGGGTATTTACGGGTCCTTTATCTCTTTACGCTCACAAAAGAAAATTCCCAAATTCTCTCTGATCTTCAAAGCTTCAAAACCCTAATCATGGCTAGTGCTGATTCTGCTTCCCAAACAACTGAAGACATCACTTCTCAACCGATAATGAAGATTCAAAGCACAAATTATCAAGTGGAAGGGGATGTGTCTATGTATCCTGAAGAGTTGAAGATGCTCATCGTCGCATTGAAGAGTTCTGTTCTTTCAAAGGCGATGTTCAATTCGTTTGCAGTTCCTCTCTCTTGGCTTTCTCAGGCAGGTTCTACTGCAACTTATAGTAAAGCCATGGATATGATTACTTTTCAATTGGTGAATGACAAGAAGATCCGTTTGTCAAAGAAGATCTTTTGCCAGATTCTTGAAATTCCCAATTCTCCACTTGTTACTGATCTTACGTATGCGCAAGTTGTTCATATGTTCAATGAGATGGGTCATCAACCCCCACTCATGAAGATCAGTGATTTCAAGAAATCAGCTCTTCCAACTGTTTGGAATTTCTCGTTTGGAGTTTTTCTTTGATGCTTGACTGGTCGAAGTGTTGGTTTAGACAAGGGTCGCATGGAGGTTTATACGATGGTGGCTGGTTTATACTATGATCTTTCTGTCGACTACTCTACATAACTATGGAAGGAATTTCAAAAGAGTGTCGAAAACACAAATTTTGTTCAAGGCATTTCGTGTGCCAGGTACTGGAGCTTGATCCTTGCTCATTTTTATGAAAAAGAAGGAATTGAAGTACCTGCTGATGAAGAAAGAGTTGAGTTTCTGAAGTATCACTTCCCCAAGGAAGTTTCTGATGATATGGAGGTGTTCACACACATTGCCAGGATTCCTGATGCAATGTTAAAAAGGGTTGAGCCAACAAATTATGTGTTGGTTGCATACATGAAAACAATCAACCCTGATGTTGAGACTGGAAGATTATTGTCGAAAGAAGAGGCTGGTCCTTCGAAGAAACCAAAACGGTCTAAGAAGGATGCTAAGTCTACTTCTGAGAAGCCAGTGCATGAAACCAAGAAGTCTCCTGAGAAACTAGTGCACGAAACAAGGAAGTCTCGTGAGAAGAATGTGCACGAATCCAAGCAGTCCCCAAAGAAGCCTGAACAACCAGAAGTCAATGTTTCGACAGTTATCATCAAGCCAGTGGAACCTGTTGATGATACTCTAGTTAAGGAGAAAATTCCATCGAAGTCTGGTGTTTTTCGAAGATTAAAGAAGAGGAATAGGGGTTCACGAAAATCTTCTGATGGTTCGTTCAAATCTTCTCCTTCAAATGTTCGTATACCTCAACTTTCTCATCAAGGGGTAATTTTTCGTGAGGTTCCAGCTCTGGTTTCGCCTTTGTCAAAGAAACGTAGAGCTGAAGATGTAGCTAAACACATTTCGAAGAAGAAGAAAAGGCAACGAAAGTTGGTAATCCAAGAGGAGTCGTCTGAAGAAGAGATCGTTCCAGAAACACCAGAAACCAATATTTTTCAATCTACCCCTGAGAAGACTACTGTCATACCACCTGAAGTTTCGTTAACTGAATCACATACTGAGGAGGTTCGAACTTCAGGCATTCTTACACACGTATCTGATACGGTTGTAGATGTCCACATGGGTGAAGGAGAGTCGAATAAAGACATTGTTGTTGCTACTCAAGGTATTCCTACATCGACAAATACTTCTGTTTCTTTACATCCGATCATTACTCATGTTTCAAATACAACCAATTCACCCACCTTTAAAAACATTCTTCATCAACCTTTTACCACTCTTTTTGCATCTCAATCCACTGATCCACCCAAAATCGATTCACCTGTTAAAGATTCCCCTATTTTTGAAACTGATAATGACAACGAAGGTTTTGGTGGAACGTTTGAAGATTTGCAGTTTGATGATGACGAAGATTAATTTCCTGATCATATGTTGATGACGATGAAACAATTCAAGATTTCGAACAAGAAGTTGAATTCTATTCTTCAATCTCAAGCAGATCTGGAGGGTAGTTCGTCTGTATCTAGTATGGAAGTTGATAGTTTGTTGCATATATTCGAAGCAAAGGTGGTGAGTAAAGTCTCTGGCATGGTTAGAGATTCAGAGTCGAGACTCTTGGAGAACGTTGATCACAATGATCAAAATGATGAGTTACGGATAAATTCTCTAGCTTCGATGTTTAGAGGGGAGGTGAAAGAATTTAAAATTTTGGTGAAGGAACGTCATGTGTTGTTTGTTCAGGATGTAAAGAAAGTAAGGGAAGATGTGAATTCGCAAATTCAAGAGCTTCATGAGGAGATGCGAAAAGAGATTGTTGTTGTGCAAAGGGATTATGCTTCAGTAAATCAGAAGGTTGACATTATTTGTGATGCTGTTACCAAATATGTCAAGTTGTACGAAAGTTTGAGTCCTCAACTTACTCAACTTTCTACAACGGAGAATCTAAATTTTGTGGAAGTACTCAAGCTATTGAAGGAGTTGAAAGATTTAACTGTGAAGCCAGTTTCATCTCCATTGATAACTCCTGAATTTTTGTCTCAGAAGTTCACCCATTTCGAAGCCATTCTACACAAGCAGTTGGCTCCCTTTTCAAGAATTTCGAGCCTTCTTCCAACGGATGCCCCACCTGTTTCCACAGGGGTGCAAGGGGGAGAAAAGAATGTTGGTGGTTCGAAGGCTGGGGGTGAAGATTCGCATGAAAGTGCAATGGTTGTTGGAACGGTGTTTTCTTCGAAGATTCCATCAACTAAACCATTCATCTCAACTGCAGGGCCTATTACTTCAACAATTGTTACTACGGTGCCAATTTCCACGAAGCCAATTTCTAAAGGAATTATTATTGGGGAAGGTGGTAGTAGTTCAAAGCCTAAAGAAGATGTTGGTGGCTCTTCGATCAAAGACAAAGGCAAAACAATTTTGATCGAAAAATCGAAAGAGGAAAAGAAAGCTGAAACAGAGGCTAAGGTTGCAAAAATTAAGAATTGTGAAAAGTGTAATGCGACTTCGTGCGAATGACCCACCTGGAATGAACAAGGGTGATCCTTCGAAGCATTATAACTATGAGACAATTGAGTCGAAAGTTGCATATAATCGTATGTATGCTTTTGAGAAGAAGCCAAAGCAAAGTTATGTTGTGGTCAACTCAGACACGAATCAACTGGATTTTCCAATAAACGAGATGATGTTCATCATGGCACATTATAAAATTGCTGAGAAGTTCGACAACGATGATGAGTACACTTACATGAAAATCAGGTTTCATGCTGTACTTGGAAAACTTACTGAGGAAATTTGGTCACTCGTGAAGATTAAGAAGGTGATCAGTATAAAGAGGGATGTTTTATTCGAAAATATGATGCAGAATCTTCGTTTCTTTGTGTCGAGGGAAAATGGTCAAGTTTGTGATTTCTTAGTGGGGGATTTCTCTTTGATGAACTTGTATGATCTGATATAAGTTGCATTGTTGTTAAAGGATAAAGATGCTTCTTATCTACGAGAAACTGATCCTGAAGTTATTCGTCTTGGGCTGGCTCACATCAAGATTTTCATTGACAACTATTATGAGTGTTTAGCACTTACCGATGTTGAGTTAGCTACAACAAAGGGATTGAAAGTGAAGGTGCCAATGGAACTTCCTTTAACTCAACCTGAGTTGAAGAAGTATGCAGATGGGGAAATTTGTTTGAAGCCTTTTGGTTTGGTCTTTGCTGGGAAAGATAAAAATGGGAAGGCCAAAAGATTCTTATTCCAAGCTTCCGAAGTGGAAAGGTACACAACATCCCAATATACGAATTTCATTGTTCGTATGAATAGCTACAAGAGGAATAACGAAGGAGACAAAAAGGAGCTGAAGAAGATTATCTCATGGTACACTGAGATTCGAAGGGTAATTCTGTATGCCATACAGATACTCTTCAACTGACGAAGGTAAACATTATTACAAAGGGGGAGATTGTTAGGGTCGAATTAAGTTGTAATATGTCGAAGTCTGTTTTTCCCTTCGTATGTTTGTTAAGGTTATTCACTGAGGTATATTTCGTATGTTGCTTAAGTGTCAATGCCTTAGTATTTTTTATATGCTTTCACAGTTCCTATAAATAGGGAACTTTACTAGAGTTAGATAAGAGTCTTTATAGAACCTGTCTATTTTCTCTGTAAAAGTTGAAAGCATAATAGAGCAGAAACCAGATCTTATTTACTTCGTGTGTTCAATCTTCATTGATTTTTACTCTGTTTTGATTCATACTTGATTCTACGATTCATCAATCCTAATGGGTTTAGAACCCAAACCCTAAGCTTAAAAGGTTAAGGCTTAATCAATAATCACTTATTCATCAAGATAAGGCCCCATAATATAGATCTGGTCCTTAAAGGCTGCAAGGTCACGCAAAGTTTCCAACTATACTCTTATGCATGGCTAGAAGAGATTCATATGTTCGAAAGAAGCCATAATAAGGATTCAATGGATGCATGGAGATTTTAAGACCATAAAGTTGGCACCTTTATGCCAAAAGAGCTCATGAAGATTATGGATATGAAGGAATAATCCCTTTGGTACGATCTACACTCCATCATCCACTGAACTTGGATAAATCCTAAAAACTAGCCCCTAAAAGAGATCTAAATGAATATTAAGCAAGGTTAGTACTTTATACCTGAAATATGCTTGAAATGGTGCAAAGAATCAAGATATAAAGGCTACCACTTGAATCACCACCTTGCACCAAGCTTCTCTTTCTTCTAAGAGCTTCAAACACACCAAATCACACTCAAAAAGAGCTCACAACACTAAAAAAGGCTTAAGGGTTTTGAGATTAGGGTTAGAGGCTATGGAGGCCGGAAATGAGGCCAACACTTGGGACTTAAGGTGTTTAAATAGGGTGCAAAACCCTGTAATTAGGGTTTCTTCCCCTGCCACCAACTCGCCGAGTTGAGGCATCCCAACTCGTGGAGTTGGTTCATTAAACAACGCGGTCAAACCCACTCCAACACGACGATTTGAGGCTTCCAACTTGTCGAGTTCTACAAAGAATTTCAATAATTTGAAGGTTAAATACATACTAGAAACCAGGCGTTACAATTCTCCCCCACTTGACTCAGACTTCGTCATCGAAGTCCGCTGCCTCAAACAATCCTGGGTAATGCTCCCTCATATCTTCCTCCGGCTCCCAAGTCTGCTCCGACCCCTTGCGGTGCAGCCACCACACCTTCACTAACCACATAACCTTGTTCCTCAAGGTTTTCTTCTTCCGATCTAATATTGCCACCGGTCTCTCAATGTAGTTCAGGCTGTCATCCACCTGAATATCCTGTAAAGGCACATGTAAAATACCAAAATCCAAGACCAAAAATTTAATTTTTAAATAAGTTATTATAAAACCAACAGTATAAAAGCATCCATAATAATATCCCACGTAAAAACCCAAGTGTCAATAATCAAAACATGTTATCATAAAACAATATCAGAGTGTAATCCCCAAGATCTCATGTGCGGAAAACATAGTGTGATGCGCTGCGACCGAGCCGAATCCGTTCCTTTGAAAAGTGGAAGTACTTGAAACCAATCTTAAAACCGTAAGCACGAAGCTTGGTGAGTTCCCCAAATACTACATACCATACATATCAACATGCTGTCTAACATATGTGGGTGCTGGCATACCCCTTCGGTCTCTTTCAACCGGATACTACCATACATAAATGTGAGCCATACAAATCAATCATATATCATAATCACATAAAATGCTATATGCCAAAACATAGTCTTGCCATTATGCCACATGCCACCACGTGGTCATTCTTGCCAAGACAGGGGCCACCCCCTTCGGACTTACAAACAAGTGCCAAGAGCCACCTCCTGGTCTTCCATGCAAGCATCACAAAGACAACTAGCATACATACTGTTCTACTTAGCTAAGCAGCATACAGTGTGCCAGGAGCCAGCTCCTGGTCTTTCATACATAATGCCTAGGGCTAATCCCCGGGTCTTCCTACCATACATAATAACATACAGTATGCCAGGAGCCACCTCCTGGTCTTTCATACATAGTGCCTAGGGCTAACCCCCAAGTCTTCCTACCATACATAAACTAAATGGGCTGTCATTGGTGCTTTAGACCCATACAAAGAGTGAGGAGACTCACCTTGCACTGCTGAAGTCCCGCGAATAAATCCCTGGCTGCTGGCTGACAGATCCCCAAACTGTCAATCATCAAAACAACACCCAAATTAATACTTGGGTTCCAATGCATAAACATAACTCCATACTTGGGGTAAAGAAACTATTTTACCCCTAACCTAACATGGACGAAAATCAACGCCTAAACTTAAACTCTAGAGGCCCAAAAGCCAAATAATAATCAAGGCCCAATATATGGCCCATCTATGGCCCAATTTTCCAAATTGGGCCCAAACCTCTCACATGGGCCTTATCCCAAAGCCCATCCAATTATTCTAGTCCTTATACTTGTTCTTGGATGGCCCATCAATAGCCCAATCACCAAAGCCCAATAGAAGGCCCGTCTAGAATCCCAAACATAATTAGGGTTTCTCACATGAAATGACGATTAGGGGTAAGTTTTCTTACTTAACCCATTTAGGACTTAACCCATAAATTCCAATATTGTGTTACGATAATTATGAGGGCATTATTATATATTATTTAGAAATTTAATTAATGACTTCAACGTGGGTCTCGACAATCCAAAACTAATCATCACCAAAATTAGGGTTTTCTAAACCTTAATTAGGGTTTCCAACCCAATCGTGGCAACAAAGTTCCAAATTTGGTTTTTAGGTTGATTAGGGTTTCATTAGGCTAGACACCACCCATTGCTACCTCGGGTGGTGGTGGTCGACGGTGGCAGCCACCACCTTGTGGTGGTGGTGGTTATGATTCTAAACCCAAAACCTGTACAATCATCTGAAAAAACAATTCAATCACACACGAATGTACACCGCCACCCAACATGGCGGCTGGTGGCGACAGAGTGGCGGTGTGAGGTGGCAGCCAGCACCTCACGGTGGTGGTGACGGGTTTTCCGACCAAAAATCATACATACAACATCATACTCATAGAACTCATACAATACACTCTCACACACACAAACACACACACACACACACACACACC